CGCAAATCTAAAACTTCTTCAATTCAAGCATTTTTTGAGAAAACTGCCAACAATTCCCCATCCATGGTTCACTTTCTAAAAAGGCCATTTATTTCCGTCTTGAATGATGTAAAAATGAGCGTTCTTGCTCATTTTGCCTCCGAGATATGAGCAAAAACGGGACGGAAAACATTAAAATTTGTCATAATCTTGCACAATTGATTTTTAACTTTGGTATAAATATTAGGAGTTTGTAAAATTTCTTTCAAAAATATGCTCTTCAAGAACAATAGGTCTGTTAAAGCTAGATTTTGCATTCTCGTTTTCCTTACAGTATCGGTAACCCTGAGGAAGGCAGCAGAGCCCTACCGAAACGTTGGAAAATAAAGAAGTATGACGTTTTGGATATGGGTGTATATCTAGCTTAAACCCAAATTTCCCAACTAGGACGACATCTCCAAGAATTTATAAATTAACAATATTAATACACATCGTCTATATCGTCATCGCTCTATAGATAGAGCTATACTTGATTATTACGTTAGGCTGAGTGTGGCTGTTTATACCTCCTTTGGGAATCGTGAAGGCAGGTGAGCAGATGTTACAAAGATCTTGTTGACTGCAAAGGATTAAAATACATGAACCATACCATCGTATCGATCATGCTTAACATTCAATCAGAAAGAGCAACAAGTACGCTTGCGCTATGGCGTTTATTTCTTTACGGTTTGTTCTCTCATATAGGATAGAGCCACATTTTTAGTCTACAACATGCTCTATAAAAGCGTGAGGCACTTTACCCTGTTCCAAAACGTACCGTGATACGTGTCATTTTATTGTAGTAATATATAATACATGTAAGTACAACTGTTGCTAATTCCTATATTTCCCATTCTTAATCGGTACGTATTTCGGTACAGAACAGTGTCATACCTGAACGTATCTTATTTATACTTTCAAAATGTTAAGCGGTTTCAAATATGAGCTTTACTACGAATTTGAACTAATTTCAATCTATATATGTTTTCGGTTGGTAACATACAATTTTTATGAATTTTTATTTCAATAACGAAAAAGTTTATTTGCAATTTTAGAGCGTTTCAAATAGTAATTATTTACAGTTGCGCTACATTTTAGTCGTTATAGTTTAAGATAATAAAGATATAAAAGTTTTTTTTTTAATTTTTAGTATTTCCTTTTTTTCTTATGAACCTTTTCCATTTTTAACGTTTTGCATTTAAGTTCTGCTTAAATATTTATTTAACTGTTTGCTTTCAACAAAGGAAGATAAGATAGGAGTGGATTTAGGATTTTTGAAAACTCTGTCTGTGTGTGTAAGTATGTTATAAACTGGGTATGTCTAGCAGATTTAGCTGGCTCTATATGATATTTAGTGGCGTTGTTCCGAAATAAACGTCACCACCATGTAACCAATGTAAAGCTTTGTTAAAGAAGATTGGTGCAACAATGTAAGAGACATAACTCTCAATGTTTTTTGTCTCTATGAGAACAGACACAGAACAGAAAGTTTATTACGTAGTGCGGAAAATAGATACCAGAATGTCTCCAATTATCGAAGTAAGTTGATAAAGATGGTACACCGATTAAATGAAATAGATGTTTAGAATGGAGGGAGCCAGATTTGCGAAAGAAAATTTATCGTTAAAACTTAAACGGTTCTATCGAGCAAAACCGACATGCAAAAAAGTAGTATAGGTATAAAATACTTGTGGAGCGACCCATAGACTTACATGTAAATTGTAACTCAAAAACTAAAAAAGTTAGGAAGTTGAAATTTTGTCAGGAAGTTACTCTCCAATAAACTAAGACCTACCTACAGAATTTCAGCCTTGCAGCTCGGTGCGATGATGGTTAAATTTGGAGTTTTTATGGACAGACAAACAGACTTACATTCATTTCATATATATATATATATAGATTGGAATTGGAAATGTTCAACAATGTGTCAGCAAAGATGTTTGTACTACACACACTGCTGTCGAATTTTGGATATGTAAATTAGGAAAATATTAATTAATAAAATATTACGCAAACCTTTTTTGCAAGGTGGTCCAGGCTATGTTTGATTCACATAACAAATCAATTTCTTCTTCCTCTATATTTACCTGATTATTACAGAGCAGAAGTTTACTGAATAGAAATGTCCTTACGAAACGCATCAGCCGTCTCTTCGGCCAGTCTAAATCCAGGTGGGTCTTGAAGAAATCAAACCTTATAAAATTGATATAATTATTGAAAATTTCTAATGAATTTTTGAAGGTGGTACCGATGTTAAATGCCAGATTTTCATTCACTTATCCAAAAGCAAGTTTACTAAGTTTTATTGCAAATAATAAATAATTCAAAAAATTGCAATGCTATTTTATTTTTTGCAAATATACACCTATGTTCAGTCAGAAACTGAATTCATAAGCTCAGTTTATGTGCATATTTGATTTCAGAATTAAAAGATTCAAAAGACTCGAAAGAGCCGAAAAAGTCTTCGGCATCAGGATCTCTGCTTAGTCCAAAGATGCAAAAATCAATTAAAGTTAATGAAAGCCAACTTCTGTTCTTATCTGAAAGAGCTAATGGTGACTCTAAAATACTGGGCTCCTTATGGAAAAAGTCTACAATGTCAGATAAATGGCAACTACGGTTTTTTGTTCTTTACCAAGTAAGTGAAACTCATTTGCATCAGGTGTCCAACTGCCGGATGACTAGTTAATTCTCCCGAGCTCGCCGTTTGTCCGTCTAAATCATTTGCATCGAAGCACATTAAATAAATCTACAGCGGTCGTCCAGAAGTGATTCAATGAACACTATTGACTTTTTACTTAATCTAGAAGCCATAGGAAATTCTTTATAGGATTTTTTTCCCGTAATAACATCGGTGTCACTATTTGAAAAAGAATAGGGAAAGAATAGGGAAAGAAAATTTAACAAACGTAAATCAGAAAATCGAGCTGAAATTGATTCTCTAGCACTCACTGAATAGCAATTGGTTCCAGAATCTACTATTTTACTACGAAAACAAAGACAAGAGGGAGAGACCATTAGGAATAATTTTCTTGGAAGGCTCCTACGTGGAACGGGTCATCTACAGTGATAGTAGTTTACTACCTCCAACGCCAGAAAAATCGAAAGATAAAGAGAGAGAAAAAGCAGAGAAAGTGGAAAAGGAGAAAGAGTATGTAGACCGAAATGTAGGTAGTTTAATATATGTTTTTTTTTTATTGTTGTCAATATGTTTCTAACATTGGCAACGCTTTTATATACGCAGATTGACCTAACTTTCGTAATCTGAATATATTATTTCAGTTTTGCTTCCAAATAAGTTTTGGAAAAGAATATGTCCGAAAATTTGAACTTTGTGGCGTAGCAGAAACGGAAACAGTACTTTGGATACATGAACTGGAAAAGGCAAGGTAGGGTAGGAGCAAACCTGACGCACATTTGTTTATAACTAATTTATCTGGATTAAATGATTAAGTGATGAAAATACGTCATATTTGAATATATAGTTTCAGTAAACAATATTTAGAGATGCAAAAAGTTACAGCGAAACATTTGCATATTATTCAAGTCGTCGAAGCAGAGCAAACTGCAAAATGGCAATTTTCTTTGCATTGCGAGGATTTATATGCTGAAATGAAGTTTTTGAGAGAAGAGGTATACATTCGTTGAATATTCCTAAAATTTCAATCGATATCTCGGTCGATTTAACTTACTTTTGGTATGTACTTTAGCTGACTTCATTAAAAAGACAGCGCAATGCAGAACGATTTATATGTAACATGGTTCATACCTGCATGAATGTGGAAGATTCAGGTTGCCTTTGTTGTTTGTATGAAGACCTGCAGGGTGATGAAGAAAAGCTGGGTAAGCTTAGGAAAGTTCAAAGCTTTTTTCGGGGATGGCTATGTCGCAGAAAGTGGAAGCAAATAGTGGAGCAATACATTAAAAGTCCTCATGCTGAGCGTTTGCGAAAAAGGAATAATGTTGTTTTCCAACTGGTTGAGGCTGAAGAAGAATACATTCAGCAAATGGAGGTGTTGATTACTTGCTTTCTCAGACCATTTAAAATGGCTGCGTCTTCCAAGAAACCACCATGCACACATGACGATGTCAATTCGATTTTCTTAAACAGCGAAACTGTGTTTTTTCTACACCAAATTTTCCTCAAAGGTTTAACTGCTAGATTGGAAAGTTGGCCTACGCTAGTTCTAGGTAGGTTTCTTCGACGTGTTTCTATTTTTGCATTTTTGGAAATAAGAATATGTGATACCAACTAACTACAAGCATTAGTAGTAGCAGTAGTACGTAGTAGTGTTAGTGCAGTACCAACGTGCAGGGAAATGTCATCTTACTGCAAAAGGGCGAAAAATAGAACTTGTGTGAGTGAAATCGAATGTAAATGTTTTGATAAAACATGTGAATATGAATGTTTACGTTCAACCCCACGGACAGCACTAAGAAAATGTTTCCCAATTTTCTTTAATAATTAACATTTGTATAGTATTCACCCTTAATATTTCTAGGAGATTTATTTTCGATGTTGCTTCCGATGTTGAGCATTTACCAAGAATATGTAAGAAATCATCACTATTCTTTGCAAGTATTAACTGAATGCAAACAAAATCAACCCTTTGCATCTACGCTAAAACGTTTTGAGTCTAAACCAATGTGTAATGGGCGTTCCCTGGAGACTTTTTTGACATATCCGATGCATCAGGTAAGTACATAAGCCTGTTATCCGTTTCTACTTGGACTACTTCAGATAAAAAAATACTAAATATGTTTTGATTACTTCCTACATTTTATGAATTCCTGCAACTGGTTTGAATTTATTTGTTGCGCTATTGGTTTGCTCTTCAACTGTTCATCTGGACGGATTAATTTCAAGTTTAACCGTGTGCACATTAATTGAAATTTTGAATACCCTTTCATTTCCGATTTTTTGAATGAAAATGTAGGTACCTTCCCATAACCGGATTTGTCTTATATTATGAAATTTTGTAGATTCCAAGATATATTATTACACTTCATGAGTTACTCGCACACACCCCATTTGAGCATGTCGAACGAAAAAGCTTAGAAGCAGCTCAGGTGCAACTTGAAAATTTATCCAAGCAAATGCATGATGAAGTAAGTTGAAAAAAATATATAAATATTAAATATGCCTATGTATAGGCAGGTAAGTAGGTCTTATATACTTAATACGTGTATTATATAAACACGCTATTTGTGTTAAAATTGAATAACATTATGCGTTTCATGTCAGGTGTCTGCTACGGAACACCTTCGAAAAAATTTAGCGGTCGAAAGGTTGATCGTAGAAGGGTGCGATATTTTGTTGGATGTTAAACAAATTTTTGTGCGGCAAGGAACTCTGATTCAAATTCCCAAGGAAAAGCAGAAAGAAAAAGTGGCTTTCAAAGGATTTAAGATGTCGAGCAAATCAGACAAGGAACTAGTCAGGCAATGCTTCTTATTTAGTTATCACCTGATTATAACTACAAGGTAAAATTAAATGATATATATAATGGATACGGCTCTACTCTCTATCGACCTATCGACAATGAAGCAAAGGTGCTAGTGAAATACTAGAAATGAAAATAATAATTATTTTAATAGGGGTAGTGATGGCAATTTGCATTTAGTTCCCAATATCGGTAAAATTCCTATGAGAGAGTGTATATTAATTGATGAGCCAAACGAAGAAGCTAGTTTGGGTAAACCTAGAGTTTCAGAATACCTACGGAATATTTAATTTGTATGTTTTATGTTAGAGCGACAGTTGGAGTCCACATCGGCAGTAGTAGCGGAACAAAACACTTTGTACCATGGTCGAGATTTTAAAGTTGTGATAGATAGCAAAGTTTCAGAAACACCTGTAAGTTACGGGCTATGAATTGAATTAGACAGCTTATCGCTCACAACGTCCATTTTTTCCGCAGCTTGTAATTCACTTCGTAGCCCCCACAGTCAGCGAAAAGGCTGCATGGATTTCCGATTTAGCTGACTGTATCGACAATGCACAGTTCAGTGAGATTTGCAATCCAGTAATGACTGAAACCAGCTCAATTAACCTTCCGCAATATATTCGAAACGATCCAAGGCTGTTTCATGATGAACCTGACATTCAGTTTTCAAAAACTTTAAACTCGTGCAAGATTCCGCAAATACGCTATGCTACTCCGGATAGACTTCTGGAAAGACTAACCGGTAAAGTTGGAAAAATGGGTACAATACAACTAAGTTGCTTAAATATGAATGAAGACTGTGACTGAAGTTGTACATAGAAAAATGGATAAAAATTTGTTGTTTGAAATAGTTTGGTTTTGAGTTCGAGTTTGCTGATTTATTGAAATTCAGCTGCCAGTCAGAGTATGTAGCTACTTAAGCAACTGAAGTGTGAAATGTGGTTTGAAAGGAACGTTTTCCATTTTGTAGTAACATTTGAGGCATGATGAACTTTTGCATTATTGTATTTCCTCTCACTCAGGTTTCATCTTTTACAGTCGAACAAGACATTTTTGTGTTTCGTCCATGTCTTGCATGCTTACCATCATTCTTTCTTGTTATATCACAGGTAATGTGTAATTACTTATCAACGCTTTACTGCTTAACGACGTAGATCGTCTTTTAGATCTTCGGTTTCTTTCGATCGACTTCCTGAATACGTTCCTGTTGACCTACAAAGTATTTACTGATGGAATTAAAGTTTTAACTGCCCTTAAGAGAGTCTATTACGCAAGTGTGGAAAAAGAACGGGAAAGAATGGCTGTAGCGGAATACTTGCAGTATAAAGAAGACAATACTTTACAAATTTATGAAGATTATCGGAGGCGAAGCAGTATACTACAGTTTCCACACCGACGAACTAGTGGGGCTAGTTCAGTATCCGGATATTGCTCAGAAGCAAGCGACAGAGACCGCTCATTTAGCTATGATTCCCAGGGGCAAAGACCACTTAGAAATGTTGTAATATCTAAATGTAAGTAAAATACTGATGCAGCTGCAATGTTAATATCGTATTGGTGATAATTATCTTCCGATGTAATTTCGTTTATTACTTATTATCAATCGCATGTGACAATATTTTGTTTCGCATATAAAGGAGCTTTTTCAGAAAATTGAGAGAAACTCATTTCTCTAACATTTGTATGCGAAATATCGTTAATAGGCCAAAAATATTAGTAAATATTAATTTCTAAATAACAAGATCATTCATTCTGGGTATAAGTTCACTTATATTTAGTTGCCAATCGTGTCGAATCGTCATAGCAGAATAATAACATAATAAGTATGGGAATGTCAAACTTGGAATGCCGAGAATTTATTATTTATTGAAAGAGCATAATTGAGTGCGAAATCCGTTCTATGTATTATAAAGCTAATGTTCGTGGCCTATGATTATTAAACGTTTTAAGCTTATCTATTTAATATTAAAAGCAGACAAATTTAGCTTTGCGAGTCAGATGCAAACCACCAAGAAAGAAAAACAAAATCATAGAGAAATGTGATTGGCGTGTTAGTGAAAATAATGAGTCGGCATATTTCCGCGCCGACTTTATCTCGTCCAAGCATCTGACAGCCACCAACAAAGCTAAATTTGCCAGATTCTACAATTATTTCGCTATAGATGAAGATGAGCCATATAGAAGGCATCCAAGTTCACAAGTTACACCAGAAAGAAGGAAAAGTGTTGCAAAATCAATTTTTATAAAAGTGAATTCTTACGAAGAAACACAGGAAGAAGTGGAACAACAAGAAAATAATCTTCTATCGATTCCAAAAGTGGAACCGTCCAGTAGCAATGACACTCTAACAGGTCTGTATTGTCTATTTCATGCAAGTAATAGATTTATGGCTAAGCAATCGGTCATGGCTTTTGTGAATTCAGACACTGGTCCAGACCCTTGCGGTAACTGCGGGCAAGATCTTCCAATGGATAAATTGACGGTAGAGCAAAGAAGACGACGTGATATCGTTGAAGAAAAAAGAACGGCTCGTCGAAAATCTGAGGATCGAAGGAAGTCAGATAGTGCGCGCCAGGATGAGCCATCTGAGGTCTCACAAGAAGTTAGACGCAAATCGGATGTGACCGCGGAAAGAAAAAAATCTCTTTTATGTGAAGATATTCGTAACGTTTTCATAGAGCAAAGAACATCTGAGATTTCAGAACGAATTCGTTTGGAGGAGCGGCGCCGTATTGATTCTGCGGAAAAAAAGTTAAACAAGTCCTTAGAAGATCGAAAACGTCCACTGATTTGTCCTGATGAGCGCAAAAGATCGTCAGTGGATAGTGGATCTTCAGTTGTTAAAATATCCGAAGAGCGTCGCAAGTCGGGAGAGGATGAACGAAAAAAAAACATATATCGGCACATTTCTTCCCCCAGAATGGAGCGTAAGACTGACAGGGCTAAAAGCTTATCTATCGATAGCGACACCCATCCAGAAGAAGGATTGATGGATCAATTGCTAGATTTGGAGGAAAAATCCGATGGAAAGACGGACGACGTCGCAAGAACATCTATAGCGTCTGTTCAGGCATCCACTCAAATTATTTTAGGGGTAAGACGTTTACGTAAAGTGGTATGAAAGATATTTCTGTGTTTGCTATTCAACAGTTTTTTCAAAACTTTTACCAACGTTCACAAAAGGAAGGCGAGCGGCGAGAACCACCACCGTCAAGCCGTTCTACTACTGGAAGATCCAGTGTCCAACATGAATGTCTTAGTAAATCTCCAAGTAAAGCAGGAGTGGTGGTGGGTGGCATAAAGCAAGCTAAACGACGAAGTAGTTCGTCTTATGCCAGTACAGCTTTTGCCATTGCCACGTGTGCAGCTGATAATCCGGTGGCAATGCAGTACCAAAAAAAGCAAAATCAAGTGGAAGATAAAACAAAATCCTTAGAATTTATTATATCTACTGCCGCTACTATGCGAGTTTTGAACGTTTTAAGGTATAGCCTGCAGAATACTGCATGCATTGAATAATACTTTATAGGTATTGTCTTGGCACACTTACAGGCACTGGATCTCAAAGCAAGGTAAGGATTTTGAAGCAGACAAAGAACTGAAGCGTCAAACCAAAGAATTTTTGGAAGAAATTCGTTGCCATCCGAATCTTACTTCGGCTGAGCATAAATCAGCTGCTCAGTTGCTTCTGCTGCTTGAAAAGCAGAATGAAGAAGAAAGGCCGGTAATTGATTTAGTAAAGCTCCTGAGACCTCCACTGGTATGCGCTTAGAAATACCTAACATTCCATTTAATGTGAATATGTATTTAAGGAACCCAGTAAAGAACGAATTGAAAGCCTGTCAGCTCTAGAAATAGCTGAACAACTAACGTATATTGACCATCAAATCTTTATGCAAATAGCTCCCGAGTACGTGTTTTTCATCAATCACATATTGGAGTATTTGAGTTGACAATTGAGTTGATTGCCATTGCTTTGCAGAGAATTGATGGGTCATTCGTGGTTGAAACCTGATAAGGAAAAAAAGGCGCTACACGTAGTTATGATGACCAAAAGATTTAATGACGTTTCTCGGCTAATAGCCTCGGAAATTGTTCGAAAAAGCGATATGGTGGCCCGAGTGGAAACGATAGAGAAATGGGCGGCAGTAGCTGATATTGTCAGATGCCTTCACAATTTCAATGGAGTTCTGCAAATATGTTCTGCTTTTGCCAATGCTGCTATTTTTCGTTTAAAGAACACGTGGGAGAGAGTTTCGAAGACCGTAAATGCCTAATATAGAACGTAACTTATCAGTATGAGGAAAAAATACACTATTTTTCAGGCAAAACAATCAATAGAAAAGCATCAAAAAATTGTTTCTTCTGATGGAAGATTTCGAATGCTCAGAGATGCATTGCACAAATGCGATCCGCCCTGCATTCCATATTTGGGTGTTTACCTCACAGATTTGTCATTTATTGAGGAAGGTACACCCAATTTTGTGGATAATAATTTATTAAACTTTTCGAAAATGCGAATGGTAAGTGGTGAGTTTATAGGCATGGCTTAGAAAGAATTCTTAAAAAGTATTGCCATGAGAAAATTGATTTACTATATTGCGATGAATAATATGAGCTCCTTATATTCACATACTTTTTTTTCTAGATTGCCCACATAATTCGTGAAATACGCCAGTATCAGCAGACGTCTTATAAAATTGATTTGGTTACTCGTGTTTCGAATTATTTGTTGGATACGTCTTTGCTGATGGAAGAGGAAGAACTCTTCAAAGCATCTTTGAAGATTGAGCCGCGAACTCCAAGACTAACAACGCAATCAAGCATTGGTAAAAGTTAAGACTTAATTTAGTTCACTTTGTTAAACGTCAGTATAGAGTTCAGAATATTAGCACATACATATGTCAATAATTGTAAGTTGTGTTTCAACTATACTTCTAACTTTTAGCAGGCCCGACGCCTTGGTAAAGAACTGGTTTCGAACAACTTAAAAACCATCGGGCATGTTTGCATGTTGAGTAATTATTCATGCATACAGCTACGGATCGTATTACTTTATAAATACATTGTTTCCATCGTCATCCCAATCCGCATGCTTCAATTGATTACGTTTGACTAGAAAATAATTAATAAGTATTTTCAAAAACAAAATTAAGTGAAACATTTTATTACATACATATACGTAGGTATAGTGTTTGTTCCATACAAAATTCATAATGTATTTTCGAATTATTTTTATTGGCGCCAGTATTGGATATCAATGCAAATATATACGTATATTTACATAATATTAACAGAAATAATAGTAATCACTGGAGACAATCAGATAGAAAGGAACAAATAAGTATTTGAAATACACATCTACTAACCTTCCTTGTAGGTACATTTTATTTGCTTTCTCAATTTTTATTAACTGCATATCAAATAACTATTACTGTACCTGTATGTGTAGTATTAAAGTAAATAAATGTTGAGGGAGGACCATTTCCAAACGATGTCAACTCTATTTACGCATTTGACTTAACTTTTAACGTCGTTATGCCTAATATGTATGTATATGTCAATGCTCAAATAATTTCTGCCATTAATCAATAATCCTTATTGTCAAATTATCTTTCTGCACGTTCATATGATTTTAACTAAGAACTTGTTGTCAAATTGTTGGACTATTATGTATATATTCAAGTTTATATATGTTATATTCAACGTATAATTAAAGTGTTTTTTTTTATAGATATTTAAACGATTCTTACGTAACCAGATAAAATTACCTCTACTGAACAAAGTAAGACAAATATGAATCTTGGTTGGAGTTCTGTGTGGCTCATTTTTTCTCATTAACATTATTTTAAAAATATTTCATTAGTGTTAAGTGCTCACTCACTACTTCAGCAACAATTACTTACCTACTACTCATTTAATAATTTAGTTGTAAATAGTCGAGTTTTTTTTATAGTAACATAACTTTGATTGGATAAATATTCATTTACACCTTATGTTTGAGTGGCATTATTAGAGGGCTACTAAATACTTCGCACATTATATATAGATATATAAAAGTGTTCGGTATATTCCGTCCTTTTTGACATAGGTAATTACTTAATAGGTTACTATTAATTGTTAACTCAACAACTTACAATTTTTTCTGCTCAGTTTATCAGGTAAAAACTTAAATATTATAAGTACCCTCTTCACATTAGCTGAATTACCCTGGCGCATTAAAATTAAATGAGAAAATTAATAAGTATTCCAGAATTATCTGAAATAATGGTTGTCCCTACCCTCTTAGGCTTGCATAATAACTGAGAATAACTTAATTTCCCTGGAGATTTTGCACAATCTAGGTCAAAGGAGCATCTGGGTGTTTCTGGGTATTCAATGAAACATACACTTGATTATTAAAAATATAGCATTTTCTTAATAGCAGCCTGCACGAACATTACATCGGATCTTTCGAAAATATAATTTTGCTATTACTGTTTTGAAAACAAGCACTTGTGGATTAAATGTGATTGTGCCAATAATCAGCATTGATTTAAGATGACAGATTAACTTAGATTTGTAAACATTCTTAGCATATTTTGAAAATATTTTGGTTGCACAAGTAACTCGTTTGAATGGCGGTAACATACATAGTCACAGGCAAATTTAGACAATTCCATAAATTGTGAGAGTGGAAAACTTTAATAACATTCCAGTATTGATCTAAACTGATTCTAAAAAAATATCGCTACATTGCAAATCAATAATTTCCATTCGAAGTTCTGGGGCCAGGGTTTCTATATCGACCATGAATCGATTTTGGCAGACCTTGTTGTCATTTATAATTGCCTCAATAGCAGAAAAATGAAGCTCAACATTTATTTCTAAAACGCTTAAGTGCGAATTCAACGGAAAATGTTTAGTTAACTCCGAATAAAAGGACAACTTTCATAACGAAAGGGTAATTCATTATTCAGCTCTCTCAGCAGAAACTCACCCATAGGACGAATTTTTATATTGAAACGCTCAAAAAATAACTGTATACCTATACTTTTCTGCAACTGAGCCAACGAACTGCAGTGTAATAAATATAAGTAAAGTAAGTAATTTTCTCCATTCTCGACAATAAGCTCCCGGAATTGACCATGTTTAAGCGCATGTGATCCGATGAAACTGACATAGTAAGTATTTTGCGCATAAGGACTGTTAATTTAAGATACAATGTATAATTAATGGTCTTAAGCCATCATCATTTTTCGTTCGTACGAATATCGTACCGTACACATATCGTTGTTGAAATTTTTACTGACAATATTTTTCAATTAAATTCAATTCAAGCTCAATGAGAGGGTTAGGTGACTCGGTGAGTCGATGGCTTGGGTAGTTACAAGCAATTCAAAAAATTATCCAATTAAATTAAATTAAAATTAAAGACGTGAGATCAGAACAAATGAGGTATTGTAAAGACAAAGGGACAATAATATGATTATAATATTTTTAAGTGATGACTCTTGGATAGATACCGAGTGAAAACCGTGCAATCCCTTAAAAATAGGCGAAAAATCACAGTTCAAGTTCACTTGTGTGCACGCACTTCGAATCAGCCCTCGCTTAAATTCCCAATTAATAAATTAATTAGTAAACCAAATGTGTTTCAGTTATTTAGATAATGAAATTTTAATTAATAATTTGCTAATCCCTGAGCCTATAATTAGCTGAGCAGTCATTCAAATACCCCAAACATAGACGGATTTTATGCGAACCCGCTTGCGTTTATTTTGTTTCATTTTCCATTTTAATATACAAAGCTCAGTCTAATTTTACGTTGATTGTCTAGTGAATACGGGCACACTTTTCTGCCGTTTAAATATGCTTGAAGTAATTGAATGTATTTCTCTTAGGACTTGATTTATAGTTCAATGCCCATTGCCAGAAATAAATGAAAGCATTTGGCTGAAGCGATTACACATAGTAATCGTTTTTCTGCTTTAAGGTTTTTTCACATTCTTAAAAGGCAGATGCGCGTAATTACAGGGATGGAGAAAACTGAAATACGTTAAGTACAATCCGTCGCTTTTATATTGACTTTTAGTCACATCGACTTTGATTAGAAACCCAGATCAATAATAAAATGCTCCATGAAATTTCGACGTTAGAGGGAGCAACCCTATTTCTGGATACGACAAACAGCCCATTTCCAGCTTTTCGCTGTATAGTACTGACGACGGTGCCGACGCCTCAGTTATACGAAGTATTTAGAAGACGTAACAGTTAGCCAGTATCTGAAAGCTTTCGGTCTCGAACCACGAAATTCGCGACCTGTTACGAAGTAGCCTAAAATAACCGTTGTAAAAAATAAGACTGTTCAATATTGTTAAAGAAAAATGACATTATTATTAATTTGTTTTTGTTGATAAATATCTTACAGTTTTGAATTCGCAGTGTGTGTTTTCAAATTGGAGCTATACCGATAAAGCTGCTTGTGATTGGGTGAATATTATTGTGATCGCCTTGGTGCATTTTAGAATTTTGGGACAATACTTAGACCATGTTGAGCGGACCATTTCTAGTGAATCTAATTTTTTTTCTCTTAATCATCCCAGGTAATTATAAGTTTGATCTTGCAATTGTTAAAACGACAAAAGTTCCGTAGATAGAAAGTGTTGATGCATGGAATGTTTTGTCCAAATCCAATTTCTGGCATATATTCCAAACAGAAAAGGTGCATTTTTTAAAAACGATTTTAGTCATCGAACGCTCTTAACAATAATGAATTATAATGTCGCTAATAATAAAGAGATAAGCTGGTCACCAGTCGGCATAGACTAGATTTTGAGACTAGACCTGACATGGAATATGTAGGTAGGTACCTCAGATTAAGTAGTGCCTATTAGCATTATCCTATGTTTAAGGTTGCAACAAATCAGCGTAAATTTTTGAAGAACCCGGAATAATGACGTTTATTTGCCATAGTTTGATATTATTTTCATGGGGATTCTAGCAAATTAAAAATTCGCACTCTCAGAATACTCGGTTGAAGAGATATGTACTCAAATTATAATTGAGGACTATTTTAGACACACTTCAAAACTTTTTTCATATTGAGATCAAGTTAGTAAGGATTTAAAGGAATTTCTTTTGTGCCTATTTTTATGCGATTGCAAAATTTGTGAAGATTTTGTCATCGTATAACGATGTAACGACTAAGGTCCATGCATATGGAGATGGCGCCAAAATATAGGATCACTTGGACAGTGTGAACGTTCTGAACAGAAAATCTTGTAATATTTAGTCTGCGGTTTGCTTTTGTTAACTCGTTTCTGATTACATGTGATGATAGCAGACACAGGTGCATCCATCTTCATGTAGAAAGAGTAAATACGAACACCCTGTTGTCTTCTTTGATGTGAACCGTTTATTGGTGTATTGTAAAAAATTTGTTTATTATATTGCTTCTTTAAGTCTATGTCGATTTTCAGCAAGAGCGTAATAGAACGTGTTTTTCGTTTCATTGTGACATTTCATAGGCCACACTTCATAATGTAGACCTCTTCGTTTGTAAATCGAGCCGTTTTAGTATTAGCGGTACGAAAAATGGACAATGCCAAGCATTTCAACGACCTGAGATGATAACAAGTTAAGTTTGAGCAAATTTCTGTTTTGCTTCTCTAATCCATAGATTGTCTCTGATTTGAAGGCGCATAATAAGAAATAAAATAACTTTCCTATCCATTATGTGCTTTTCAAGCGCATGTTCGACTAACATTTTTCAAGGGACACAAATTGACAAAAACTCACCTTTCTGCCTAAAATCCGCAGGACACACAGAAATCAAATGCACGATTCACAAGGAAAGTTCAATCTTGTTAAGGTAACTATCAAATGGTCTGTTTCGAAAAAGTTCTTCACAAAGAGACTATTCGAATTTTGCCCAGTCGACTTCCTCACGCTCCACTACGAAATGTTCGTTTAATAGTAAGTTAGTAAATAGCATGATGGCTATCCTTTAAACACTAAAAATGTTTTCACGTTTCAGTCCAATAACTACTTCTATTTCATTATCACACTTTTCATGTCTTCACTAAGTCAATCTTTCAGATCACGTTTCAGCAGGAATCTCATTCTGTACGTAATAAGATACATCGTTTTTATAAGAAAACCTGGAATATTTTCGGTAGGTACTATTTAAACCCTATCAGATGCATAGAATATAAGGTAAATATTATATATCTGCCAACAAAGATTTTTGTGTTAAAACACAGAATGACATTAAGTCTTCTGGTTTTAATGAGGCTTTAATGACTGACATTAATAACAGAATGATTGATTGAGCACAATGTTTTAAAAGTGATGTTTCCTTCGCACATTTTCAAAATGCAATTGGAAAATGATAAATTGACAGTAGAATTGAAATAATTCTTCTGGCTAATAGTAATTGGTAAGCTAATGGAATTGGTAGTTCATAAGAAAGTAACAAATAGGGTGCTGTAGATTATGTAGGTCTTCTTTCAAGTATTTCAAATATAACTGCGATGATGATGACCTTTTTAGTAAAAATACAAGTTATATTCAGATTTAGCATTTCTGGTGTGTTAAAAAATTGATATTTAAAAGGTCGAACAGAAGTTACTCGCGACCCGATATCTTTTTTGTCATCTTGATTAAAATAAAGCAGTTTGACAGATAATATTGTATCATATTAATTGGCAGTTTCTAGTTACGAATTGCGTCTAAAATATTTTAAGAATCTGAGTCGTTAGTGAAATGTGTTTGAACACCCTATAGGAGTAATAATTCTCTTTTTAATTGATTAGGTCACTATGTTTGCATTGCATGCATATAACGTATTAACATTGAGTATATTTATAAGTATTACAAACCTTAGTTTAAAGACCGCACTCTACAATTGCAATGAAATATTAGGTGTCAGGGAAAGTTCAAAGAGAAGTTAGTACCTAGTAGTCTGTTTTTCTCCTTTCTTTCTTTTTCAAAGCATAACTTGCACATTGTCTCTATTAATTGCATTTAATTGAACATGCCCATATGCAGAAAGAAATTGCTTTCATCTTGCGTTGTCATAAGTAGTTGGTGGTTAGAGAGGTAAAAATAGTTAGAAAATATGAAAAAAAAAAACAGAAATGGGTTGTGCTTACTGTATATCTTATCTTGTCAAATTTGCAATTTATCAATGACGATAAGTATATAATATTAGCTTACAAATCTTTGATATTTCTTTTCATCACAAAATCAAATTTGATACAAATGAAGCAAGGCTTAAATGTTGCAAAGAAGATTATTTTATATTCGGTTCAGGTCTTGGATAGTAAAATACTTAATTGCCAAAGGCAAGAAAGGGTTCCGACTATGCGTAAATTCGAGGGATTATAATTTGAAACGAAACTTTTCTTGTTTAGGGCAACGCCTGAAAAATAGCTTTTCATTTTAAATTCGTCACACTCATACATTTAGACATACACTTAATAATAATGGAACACCATAAACGAAACCATCTCAACTAGAGCAGAGTAGAAACATTTTATTTGCGTTTTATTCACCATAAATTCCAATTGAAAACATTCTTCACACCAGGTGAAATTCGATGGGGGTTTGTCTGTTATTGTTTGTGATTTACAGTACTTTTTGTTTAATTCGAAGATTTATTCAAAATAAATCTTCTCACAAAAAGCTGTAAAACGGCCATATAATTTTAATCCCTATTGTTAATAGAAACAATACGCATTCACGAAAATGTTTCATTAACCTGAATGATTGGAAATAATTTTTAAACATAAAATTCTCGACTCAATTGGAATAATTACCTACATAAAATACAGTTTTATAAGGTTTTTTTAAGGACTGTGTTCGTTGCATAGGCCAAATGCGCTTCTTATTCTACGTTGATTATTCTACGTTCTACGTTGATTATTCTTCTTACGCCGACGTTAATCTTTTGATATTATTTAAACACTCAGAGGGGTTTGGTTATAAGAATAAGTATAAGATAATAAGTAACTAATGGACAGGTAAGTATAGAAACTTTTTCTTTATCCGTGTTATACAGAGATATCAATATTATGACACTTTGGCTTTTGGCGCACACGTTTTGGCTGATTAGCACGGTATTGATCATAGCGCCCTAGGGAATAAAAGTAATAAAACTTCCCCAACTAACTTTTGAACCTGATATTTTATATTATCCATATTAATGGATTAAGCTCGTGTAAGAGCAGGTATTAGCCTAAAATATCGCTGCAAATCATCATTTTTCACGGAAGTTTATCGAACTTTTTATATATTTCAGAGTATATTGGATATGGCTTTACCAGGAGCTCGGGATAAATAGCCGATGCGGTAGTAAATGTGTTGCAAATTGTTTGTCTCACTAAAGATGCTCGTAAACAGAATCTAGCTTATCTATGGATAAATAAAAAAATGGGTAAAACGAAGTATATTTAAGTAGCAAAAGAGAAAAGTAAAACAGTAATTTGTGGAAATGGAATAAGAATATCTGTCAGCATCAGACATTTCGTGCTTCCGCAGATAAGGTGTTTTCCCAATTAGTTTGATAGACACGCTCACGCAATATAACAATTTATTCCGACATTCAACTCATCATAACTTCAGTTTTATCCTACCGAATGGCGACCCCTCCAAATTGCATTTTGCTACTTCACAATTTCACTGGCCGTCTGCAGACATTATTGAAGTTCGAATGTTCAAATACTCTAACTTACATGCTTCAACGATGTGAAACTAAATTTAAGTACCTATCCAAAGGAATTTTCAAATATTACCTAATAATAGATCGCAGCTTGCTACTGGTCACATCATAAGATATATTTCTCTGTAAATATGACGGATGACGGGATGACTGAAATATATATATTTTCGGTTCGGATAAGATTGTTGATGGGTTCAACCTTAATAATGTATACATTGGATGATTCACTACACATGAGAAACCACTCAGCAATTGAAGTGTTTATTTGTGAAGAAGCTGTAGATGTTATACATTTTTTAAATTGACAAAAAAACAATGTTTACATAAAACACTTTAATCTATTTTAAATAATCGCTTTTTTCTTAATTCAAATAATTGTACGTTGCTAGTTTTTTTGTAGATTTGCACGAGTCTAAGTAAATGTTGAACCATATTTTAGCGTACTTTTTTTGGAAGAACTCTAGCGAACAACACGTGGACTCTTGAGGGTCTTTTCTACTTACCTCTTTTATACCATTTAGCTATACGAGAGTCCTCCCTAATCAGAAGAGAGATTATTTTTCCAGAGCCTAAACGTGTGATCTCCGCCGGCCAGTGAACGAGTTTAATACCATACCATTTACATTCGGGAAATACTGAGAGCGATGATTGAAATGAGTGCTATGTGTACTAACATTATATTTGAAGTTACAAGAAGGCAGACAGCAGACAGAGAGCAGATTGCATTTTCAATTAGATGCATTCTTGAAAAGCCGTTTAGTCAAGTTCAAATCTATCCCTTCTAAAAAGTATACTAAGTATATCAAGCGGAATGGCAAATCGACAACTTTTACGGGCTTTGAGAACTCAGTTGACTCAATTTTTCAAAGCAAGCGCGACCAG